GTTTTTACATTCCGTCTATCTATCTATCTATCTATCTATCTATATATATATATATATATATATATATATATATATATATATATATATATCTGTCTTTATATTATCTATCTATTTATCTATCGAAGTTTTACATTGTCTATTAATCTATCTAGTTGGATGCAGAGGTATTCGACCTCAGACTATTTCTATTCATTTTCCCGATTAATTATTCTGAATTTACTTTAATGGCATTTATTTCCTGAATTATCTTAAGAAAAACAAGTAAAACATTCGTGAAAAGATAATAAATATGTGATAATTAATATTATTAATTATTTTATTTCCATAATTCCTTTTTTAAACATTTTCATGAGTATTTGGCTACCTCTCAACTAATACGCGACTAAGGGCTCGAGCACAAGTCTCTACTAATAGGTATTTTCTGTAGCCTTTAAGAAGACTACAGAATATTTCATGTGATATTGTTAGGCATTTTTCTAAGCAAAGTCCTTCTAAATCAATTACATTCGACATATTCCGTTTATCAGCAACAATTTTCAATTTCAAGCCATAAATTTTGGATTGGATTTAAGTCGAGCGATTTAAGTGATGAGCAATCCATTATCTTTATTCTTTTTCTTCTTATACAATTATGAAGTAACTTTTGCAATATATTTCCGGTCTGTTCTTTAGCAGTAAGAAGAATACCCTACTCAGACTGATTACAAAGTCTAAGAATACCAAGACTACAATTGCAGATAGTAAACAATTTTACCAAATAATGTACAGATATTTTTTGGTCAGATCATTTTACTGGGGAATTTCTCCGTACCCTCTGTTTTAAAGCAGTCCAATAAAATGTGTTCCCCAATGCCCTCTGTTGGGATTACATTTTTATATCGTTTGATGCGTTCTTTTTTTTTTCTTCAAATATAACTTTCCTGGTTATGTCTTAAAGTCGAGCTTTTATTACGTGTAACCAAATAACATTTTGTTTCCCCAAATACCACGCAATACAAGGCACGGGAGCCAATAAAGGTAGAGGCTTACAGTCGAAATTATAATGATGAATGTTGTGCATGAAATGAATAGAAAAGAAGAATGTGAGTAGGAAGCAGGGATTATGAAGATAAAGAAGATAGACTGCAATAGACTTTTGACTTGAAGGCGTCAAAAGTACAGCATTTAGGGAAGCACTCACGTGGGAATCTATTCCACAAAATGGCACTTCCAAACAAAAGAACTATTTGGATGGAAGGTATTTCTTGCATTTGAAACGCCATTCCAATAATCATTTGAATGAATTTAAAACTATTCAGAGAAAGCTAAATGAATCTTGCTAATACGTCAGGTGACGTAACTATCCAATAAATTGCCGCATTGTTGGGTCATCGGTGAATAAACCGTGTCTCCCATGAGGCTTTTTCTGGTTAGGAGGATAGCTAGAAAGCCAGCAATAATAAATACAAGCACCGTCAAATAGAAGGTGAATTCTAGCTGCAACCGTAAGTTCTATGCTAATAGTTCCTTCTACTGCACTTCTCGATTGATCTTCAAAAATTAAAGTGCAATGTCAACCATTATCTTCTGTCTTCTGAATGCATGTATTTTTATCGCTCTCACTCCTTAATTGTGGCTTTTCTCATATTCTCAAACGCTCAGTATCAACCTCTTGCGTCTTAGTGGCATTATTGCCTTGCTTTGGATGAAATGATGAATATATATATATATATATATGTGTGTGTGTGTGTGTGTGTGTGTGTGTGTGTGTTATCGTAGCGTATATTAAGTGTTTATTATATATACAGATTCTAAAGATGTGAGTTATCGGGAAGGAAATTATATATACATGATTATTTGAGCAAGTTACGAAAGAAAACGGTTATCTTCCATGGATTGAGCCGTCAGCAAACTGGCTTTTAATGAGATCCTTCAATAGTTGAATGCCATAAAAGTAGAGGATTCAAATCTCGTGTAAACAGTCCTTTTAGAGCCGAAAGATACAAGCTAAACAGTAACCAAGGTCAGCAGCAAACTCGTGTTGTTATTTTTTGTTTTGTTTCGATTTTATTCAAACATACGCCTGAAAATATATTCGGCAGATATTCGTTCAAGGAAGCCGAATTCTGTAAAGATGACTCCGTAAAAGAATATATGGTTATTGTATTCATGTTTTAACATTAAATAGAATGAATACAGTTTTGGGGCGAAAATGAGACGCGTTCGAGAATTCTGTGCATACTTAACACTTTTTTTCGCGTCTTCTTTGTGTGCGCATGCGCGTGCTTTTTATTGCGCATGCGTTAATAAGCGCTTAGTTTTATATGGCACATGACTACATGTGTGATGCATTCAACTCTAGACAAGAAGAAAGGTGCAAGATGACCTTGCTAAACTTCGGTTAAAAATGCTAGGCCTGGGTGTGTTATATGTACATACCTACTTCAGTGATGATAGCGTGTATTTTAGCGCGTTTTCCTATGAGTAGAGCCTTTCCGCTTCAAGATGCCTGCATGAGTCTTTTATTCTGCGAATCAGTGTGACTTTTTGTAAATAGAACACTTCGTGAGACGTTGGAAACTAGGTTTTAGATTTTTTTAAAGTGTTTCGTTACAATCACGTTCACACAGATAGATAGATAGATAGATAGATAGATAGATAGATAGATAGATAGAAAGAAAGAAACAGACGATGTGGACATATTAATGGTGACTGCCCGTTTAAAACAATAAGAGATCATCAGATCATTTGATAATATATTTTGGTTTGTGATATATATATATATATATATATATATATATATATATATATATATATATATATATATATATATATATTTTTTTAAAGCAGAGAAATATGTTGTTGTTTTTTTCCCGTGTTATTTTTTAATTTTATTTTTATTTTACTTTTTTTTTAGGATTAACGTTTTATATTTGTATAAACATAAACTGATGTTTATTTATTTTTTCAACCATTTCCCCGCAAGCAATGACAGCAAGGGGTTACAGAAAGTCAAAGAGAATGAGAAATATTTGGTGAGGAGAAATGACAATATAGGAACAGGATTCAGGAAGACAGAAGATGGCGATTGGCGTTTCATTTATATTTTTTGAAGATTGTAAGTGACACGGAAGTAAGAAATCGGAAGGAAATTCCACAGGGGAGAAGTACGAGAACGAAAGTATTAGAATAGAACTGGTGGTTTCATCTAGGTAGTTCAACTGTAAAACGGTGGGACCTAGTTGCCAATCTAGTAGCACGCTTAAATTCAAGCGCTCGAGGAATCAAGGATGAAAGCATTTCAGAACAATTACCATAAAAATATTTGTAGAAAAAGACAGAGGGAAGCCACGTTACGTCGTTGAAAAAGTGAGTGATGTCGAGATATCACAGACTCTTTTTTGAATGTTATTAGGAATCAAGAGATGTATAATAGGAACACAAGTATTTCATTTTGTTACATATTTTTTTATTTATTATATTTTACATAGATATGTAAATACAAACGTAAGAATATATATGTATGTATGATCTATGTACTTTTTTTATTGCGCAAGCCAATGTTTTCGTAATTAAATTCATATAAACAACAGAAGAATTGGCTGTTCTGGATATAATAAGTATATATTGCAAATAAATATATATAATAATAGAATTATCGATATATATTTTTACTTTCAAATATACGAAGATTATCATGGGTGGTAAAAAAATATAAAGGAAAAAAAAAAACGTAAAATTATTGAGTAATGTAAACACGACATTGGAAATTATGAAAAAGAGGTCCCAGAATGATCAAAAAGCAACTGAATTGTATGGCGAGATAAGAACAAGAAAGTGTCGCTTTAAGAATGTGACAATGATCTTTGAGAATATTTAAAAGAGTGATACGAAAAAAATAGATTGGTGAACAAGAATATAGACAGAATGTAAAAAAAATGCGATAAAATATTGAGGATATCAGCTGAATTCACGATCATCTTCAATCAATCTACACGTGAGGAAAAGTGTAAGATGAACGAAGAACATGAAAATATACGTATAAATCGTAATTTTAATGATGAATTTAGAGCTACATTAGACGGCCCCGTGTCAAAGTTAACACGGTCATGGGAAAAGTAACACAAGTTAGAAGAAATAAGCAACATATATTGTGAAAATATTGACCTGCATAATCAAACTGGACACCGTGTATCTGAACATCTTCTCTTCTCGGGAGAGTTTGTACATGCAAGTGTATATATATATATATATATATATATATATATATATATATATATATATATATTTAAATATGTTTGAAACAGTACAGAAGCAAGTAAGGCATAAAACGCAAGAAATTTTATATTATAGGCCATGATAGATTTAAAACAAAAACACACACCAGTCGACCGGTTTCGTCCCCTCTCATAAGAACTGTTAACGGGAAACTAAAATTATGAAGAAAAGGAAAAGAAAAAATAAAAGCAATATATATATATATATATATATATAATATAAAGAGAGAGGGAGTATAGTATAGTATAGTATGAAATACCTAAATTGCCGGTCCTTTTTCCGGGTGAAAAATCCTTTTAGGCAGGTAGGTTTTTGTCATAAAGTGCTCAATATCATATCAAAAATTAGAATAGAGCGTTAATAGAATTAATCTGGAGAAGTTTATCACTTAGCTGAATGATGTTGGTTCAGTCATGCCTGCTACATAGTTTCGTGAGCACATCAAGATAATATGTTCACTCTTCAGGGCTTGTTGTCTTATATATATATATATATATATATATATATATATATATATATATATATATATATATATATAGTGTATCAATTTTAGAAAACTTGGGGTGAGTTCTTCACACCAAAACAAGACTATATAAACATATGTCCGCATACCCTTCGTTTTTGAATGAGTAATTTTAAAGAAAGTTTACGGTAGATGAAACTGTGATACCATGTAAACAAAGTTACATATATCATTCTTGTACATTTGTGGCTAGTCTTTCTTCAACGTTTAATGTGTTTAG